GGCTGACGGAGGGCGATAGATGACACCAATCAAACAGTCATCGTGTTTGGCTAATCTCAACCTACACCACAGTGTCAGGAGTCGAAACTGGGGGATGCATTTACTCGCAATCAAGATTATTTCGATAGTAGAAAAGAATACCGCCACCACGAGTAGGACGATCGCATCTGTGCACAGACATTTCTGGTAAGGACAAATCGGAGTCCGGAATATCAGCTGCAAGCCACGTTTCTGTAACAGCAATAATATTCCACTGAGCTGATATGAAACGTAAATTTAGCTCTGGAAATTTGCTGAGGAGTCTTTGAGCATTGGTGTAGCAACAGTTTAAATATTTTCGGTGTAGAAATCCGATTGGATTAGAAGTGATGTCTTGACCGTCTCCTTCGTGGTAGGCTATCATTAGTTTTTTGATAGAGAAGCTCTAGTACTTTAGACCACCGGTTGTGGGACGGATTTTGGTACTTGCAATGAGTGATCCGATGTATTAGTAGGGTTCTCGGGATATGAATGTGTTTGGAGCCGTGATTTAGTAAGGGTCTCACGTAGTTTCGGAGGCCCTCTGTTCTTTCGTTCGCGCCATAATTGCATGACGGTGTTGGCTATGTCTAAAGTGCCAAGAGTAACTTTCATTATCCTCGGACCGTTGCCATGGTAATTTGGCGAGCAGGGCAGACGACTGATTGAGGTTGTCAGAAGACCGGGAAACCCAAGTAAATTTTGAATGAATCTCCATTCTCTTCGGTCATTCTGATGGCTTTTAGATTCATCCGGATCGTCCAACTGCGGGACACCATGGATGAGGACGATCCTCTAATTTTCCTCCACCCGTGCTTTCATCGGATCGGACTGATGCTGCATTCGCTCCGTCTGTGGCCTATTAGGAAAGACTCTGGTTCTGCATGGACAATTTCTGAGGAGGTAACCAGAAAGAAGAACGTCCTCCAAGTCCTTTTCATCTTTCAGGGTCACCCGGAGTAGTCTGGGTTCCCCGGCATGTGGCTACTTCGGCTGGCGCATAAGTCTTGTGAGGCCCACGGGTAGAACATTAATGCCCATCTGCGTGCACAAACCCTCCCAGTTTTCCATTTCTTCTTGTCGTTCTCTCAGTGGTTGTTTTGTCGGTTCAGGAATATTTGTGCAAATAAGCGTCAAGGTGGTATTGCTCCCACCTTTTTCCCCCACTATCGAAGGCTTCGGTGTGAATATAACAGGTTTCGTTAGTATGAAGATCTTCTTCTGTCCAGGAACTGTATCATTCGTTACCACAGCAGCCATGTTTATGTCGGCGGGGGTTATGCTCTGCGTTGGAGCGGCACTGATTAAAGAACATGAGCGTATAAAAGTTAGGGGGAAAGTATCCTAGGTCCTTCTAGGGGGTTAACGGGATAGGATCGCTGTAATATACAACCGGGACTTCCAAAGATCAATTCTTCTCACCAGCGGATTTGGGCAACTGACAATTTTCATTTCTACAACTGAGCCTCGTTGCCTACGTCGATCGACACACTGTTGCTTCCGGAGTATCTAGCGCCTATCGAAGCAAAAGTTTTGTGTTGAAGAAGATTGTGTCCAGGTTACTTCAAAAGCCGGCTTAATTTCTCCCCTTTTGGTTTTGTCTACTGAATTTACTGAAATCGATCAATAAATTCGCATTTCCATGAGAGGAATGGAGGATTTGATTTGACCAGGTGATGAATTCGTCCTGATTAGCTGGGGGACATGCAGTCCGGTCATCTAATATCTTTGGACAGCTGAAAATAGAGTTATCTCCACTTTTCAATGAAAGATAAGTAACCGTTGCTAATCCCGTTTCAATCATATATGTTACTTGCCGAGCTTGTATTATAAAGGTTTCATCAACAATCGAGGTGACGTTCTCAATGCAGTAGTCGGGTGAGCGCTTTATAGGTCGTTGAGTGATGTGGAGAAGTGGCGTTACCTGGTGGCTGATGTTTGTTCGCCTTGTGGCGATAAGGGATGAGGTGGACGCGGGCAGCGTTACTATTTTGTCCTGCTGTGACGTATGACACGACCCACCTACTGTGCGCTGATTGTTCTTTTTGTTGCATGGGGTTTCAATATATCGGTTGACCGAGTTTCAGATGAATGCAAACCATCCAGAAATTCTCTCGCGTGGTTGGTGCAGGTCTGATCGACGACTCTGATGTTTTCGCAATCCAAGTTGTGTCCTTGGTCCTCGTGAATTGAGATGAGTGAGCGCGCATCGTGCCTTCTGATAGCCAGTTTGTGTTGGTGCACCCGAGTCGCTAGTTTTCTCCCTGTGTCATGTCATGATCAATGCTTTCGAGACATCGGCGGTCGAATACATAAGATGGATTAGCTTTTCCGCTCGAATAGGCCACCTCTCGCAACCGTAAAGTAGAACACCACGAACCGTGGCGATGTACACCCTTCCCTCAAGGAACTGTCGGATGTCATGGTTGCGCCACAGGTTGACAAAAGCTGTTCTAACTTTCGCTAATTGTGATGTAATCTCCTCCCCGTGCCAGGCAAGGCTGGGAAAAGCGCCGCGACGGTCAGACCATGACATGGCGTAGAGGTATGGAGAAGCTGACTTCATCTTTGGCTTCGGTTGGTGCAGCTCGCCTTCCAATTTGGGGCTAAAAAGATGAAAATTGTCATTGATTAGAGGCGCTGAGAGATATGGTCCATAATAGAAGTCAATGGCGCGAATGCTGTACGTCTGCCTGTTGAAGTCCCGTGCCCCATTACAGAAAAAAACAAATTGACAAAAAATTCAAAATATGTACGACTAAACACAAAAACTTTTTATCCCAGTTATCTACAATTTTCCATTTTAACCATTTCGCCTTCTTTTCACTCTGTACTGTATCCCAATCCACCGATCTCGTGTTCTTGTTCTTGTTATTATTATTGTGGCTTTGGCTTTTGTCAGCAAACCGGTGTTATATATATATATATATATATCACAGAATAAACCCATAGTCATAATCAGAACACAGGTTGCGGGCGAACATATGTTTTCCGTGAGTCCCTTATCGAGCCAGTGCAATCACATTTATGTGAGAAAATAACGGGAAAGTGTTGTGTTGGGGTGAAACAGTCGAGGTCAAATAAGTATAGCAAAGGGGTGGGGTAGGGACACGTTTGTCACTCGTTCTCATGTTCAGATTAGAACGGGTTACGTAATCGTTGATAATTGATTTGGATCATCGCAACGCTCATGCGTGATGTTGTCCGCTTTGGGCCAGGGAAGTTCAAGTGCCTGAACAAGTGATTTTTGAGCACACAATTCTGTCTTCAACAAGCTGATGATAACTGCTGTTGCAAGCCTTGTATTTGTGTTGTGGGACGCGATAAATGATGGTGAAAGCCGAATCGGTATCCACCCTATGTCCAGTTTCGACTATGTGTGCAACAATGGAAGTGGAAGTAAACTCTGTGTCTAAGCCAAGTGGGTTGATGTTCCTTGATGCGCTTAGATAGACAGGGTGGATACTAATACTGTGATAAGCCTTGATTATTGAGCTATCGTCAATGTCCAATCAACTACGAGCAGTTGTACTTTAGCTGTTGTGCGCAAGAAACAGTGCGTCACCCTTTATCCTTATCGAGTTGCGTCACGCTTAGTTCTCACGCAAATCACACGGCTTCACCGATCCACCGAATTGACGTCCGTCAGCAAGCTCGACAAGATGTACGATTGAGGTCGGCCTCCATTTCAACACAGAAAGAGCGTGGGAAGACAGGTGATCAATTCGGGGGTAGAAAAAAACAAGTGACCAATTGACCACTGAGGTGCGTTGAATGGAATCGGATCCAACCACAGCGTTACTTTCTCAATTCAAAGTGATAGTATCTCAGTTCAAAGTGATGATTACTCATTTTTTTTAGAGTAGCAATTGTTCGCATTTCGAGTCCCAACAGGGACACAAAAAGGTACGCACTGCTGTCCAGTGCTCTTTGTCGGTTATCACAAAGATTTCCTTCGCATGTAGATGATTTCTCAATTAAAAAATCAAATAAAAATTATAGTTTCTCAAATTAACCTTAAAATGGTGAAGTACATAGTCCCAAGCACTCTTTCATCACAAATGCATACGTCTGACGTCATCAGATTGATAGTTGACCTTAAGACAATGGAAGAATACACAGAGGATTGCCTAGATGACAGTCAATTTGTTTGTGTGTACTTAACCACCCTGATTAGAAAATTTGACAATGGTTCCCTGCTGCTCTGGTTGGTTTGTCACAAGGAACGTCATAGTACAAAGATCGGAACTATATGCTTCTTAATTGATTCTGTGCGTTTTTCTCTGCATCGATATAGGTGAAAATCTCTGTACCCTTACTTGATTCACATATACGAAAGCTTTCAAAACCCACTCATCCGAGGATGGTGGATGTACAATGTCTTGGCGTGTTAAATCGGGTTGGTGATGAGTATAATGTGGCTGTGGAAGATTTTGCCGATCGTCTCCATCTATACACTTCAGGCTTCTTTCTTGTGTCCGCGATAGCCGTATCCCTAAAACAATATGTGTTCAGTAGCATGTCCTGTTACATACCAGTCCATCCGAAAGAAGGAGCATTTGCAGAATTTTTATCCAACTACTGTTGGGTTCATGGAACAATACCACTTCGATCGAGCGAAGAGATGCCGAACACGGAAGAGGAGTGGGATTTGTACGACAAATATCGACGAATAAGTAAGTGGGAATAGTGGGATCAGGTTTTTGGATGATAGTTTTGTGAATCGAATGTGTGCACGTGGGCGGGGGTTATTTGTCTTCCATTCGACTGTCTCTACAGCCGCCAATCCAATAAATAATAGTGTGAATTTATCATCATTTTCCATGAGTTCTCAATGTTTACTATGCATTCACGAAAACAATAAGCCTCTTATCTTCAAGCCATGAAGTAATTCGTTTGAACCTGGTTTAATGAATACGTTTTTTTCATGTAATTATCAGTCACTGACACATGAAAACTCAGGAGGGGGGGAGACACCACCATGCAAGCAGAATAATATCCAGGGTACCTCTTTATGTCTTTATGGCTTCATTTGTGAACTGCTAAATGGGCAATTTAAATTGTATCGTTTTGATTGCTAGGGGATATATCCCTGCAGAAAGCGATTAGAGGTGTATAGAACTCCACTCAATTTTCTATCACATAATTAGGCTTCTCTGAAGCTTTCGAAGATTTTTCAGATTCCCTCTCTTTTGGCTTATCCAAACTGAGATTGTAGTCAGTCTTCATTGCATTGCACTGTGCGACGGCTGATGTATATACGTTTCAGTGGTTTGTTTTTATAAAAGTGGTTTCTTACTCGAACGCAAGAAACGTAAAGTAATCTAGTTTTTAACTCAATTTTAGGGTGCGTCGAAAAGGAATTACAGACAAGATCCCTCGTTTTCATAATAATGTGTGGAGTAAAACGAAGGAATGAGGCAAGATTTTCAAATCTTTTGCTCTCTGACCTCAGAATGATTCCATTAGCCCCTGTTACGATCGAACCCAGAAATCTATGAGTGGAACACATAAGTACTACCAAAAGTCACTCGTTTCATCTGAGGATTATCAAATCGCTTCACTTTGTTTCATCAAGCTTGCAAATAACTCAAATATTCGTTCAGCGATCACTTTTGGAGTTACAAACATTTTGTACGCCGTTCAGGTGGATGTAATACACCCTCTGTTCAGCTGCTTCGGTTTATTCCTGTTTTCGAGACCTATTCTCGGCAGCCTTACCCCAAGACGTTTTCTGCTGGATATCAATGTCTGATCAATCATTTTCATATCTATCTCATATCAGATGTCTTTGAAAGTAACTGAAATCATCATCAGAGTAAGGGTAGACAAGCTGGATGGCAAACGTCTTTAGTCGCATAACAACACGCAGAATCACTGTCCCAAGTATTGTGTGTAACAATGAGCGATGATGAGTAAGCTCTGTGTCCTGAACTACGGACTGAATTGTCATATTCTCCGGAATATCCCTCTTATTTTCATCAAGAAGAGTTTGCAAGTCGGGGTCAAGTATGGGCTACAAAACAAAACAATCATTGGTGTTGCTTGTGATAAATCTATCTCGTGTGAAAAAACCACAGATTTTATTCATACGTTCTTCCTGCAATACTTATTGACCGTATGTTTGTGGTTTTTTGATCGAAGGTTTTCCGTAGTATTATGAAGTTCAATTTTGATAATACTTCTCAGTGTTCTCTTTCTGAGATCACTTTATTGTATTATTCTCTTCTGCCCTTAATAGTATCCTTGTTGGATGAAGACCTACACTCCCCCCGTCCTGGCCTTTAACCTTCAGAGCATGCTTCTTTCCCGACTCAAACCAAATCTATCGTAGAATATGTTTTCATCAATAAACTCCTCCTTACATGTATGTCACTGAACGCGAGAACAACCTTTGCACTGATGAGCCCAGTTTATTTCATACAGAGTCGAATGTTTATTCGTACAACGGCTATCCTGAGCTCACTCGATCTGAACAAACTATTGTGCGATTGCATCATCGTTTCACATCGTCATTTCCCTCTCACCCATGACCTCAAACAATTGAATTCACTCTGAGCCTTTAACATTTGACTGGTCTAAGATACACGCACTAACCGGATCGGGAGAATGGATATCAGAGTAAAAGCCAAAGATCGCAGATGTTAAAACATTATATAAGTCCAATGTTTGGATACGATATTCGTTAAAATGTGAGCGGTTTTTGACTTTTTTATAATATCCGTTTTCCGGACCCGCTTAGTATCGGTATCTGAGACCAGTCAAGTGTTGACAATGTCATCATTACATAAAATTTTCCATGACGAACTTCCCGTGCGTCGCTCCGTAACCGAATTTTCTATGTTGATTCTCTGCCAACGCTTAAGCATCTTAAGATTCATAATCTATCCTTCTGCGTGGGTTCAACAATCACACGATTGATCGGGTTCATTCATCGATCGGTCGGATGGTTCAGCTACAACAAAGGACGTGCTGCTTTCCCAGCTAGCCCGAGCGACTAACCGCACATTCTGCACGACCGCGAGTTTTTATCGACTACACGTTTCTTCAATGTATATGTCGGAAGTGTTGTTCTGGTTATTTTCTTACTTTGCTTAAACATTAACTCTGTGAATAAACTCAATGTACAGAGGAAGACAGAAACATGGATAGAAAATTTCACACAGTTGTTATCTTTTCTGAAAAGAGTACACGGAATTATCTTTCTCCGAGCAACGAATACGACGCGAAAGTTGCATGCATATACTGTATTAACCCATGAATACCATTTTAACTAGATACCGTTGTCAAAATTGCAGATTAGTAACATCTCTTTCCTGAGAATCGAAATGTCCGTTCAGCTATGTATCCATAACCATTTACGTAAACGGACTCAGTTCATGTGTTTTTATGCCTGCTTACCTCCCCACTCAGTCATGGTAACGCACATATATAAATATATATATTTATAACATTGAGCGAACTCATTTCCCCTCAGGTCTACTTAACTAACAAACTAACTAACGAACAGGTTACTTAGCATGATCCGCATTTTTAGTGTTTATTTATCTGATTTATTCCATACATTTATTCTAAGCGAGAGGTCCTGGGTTTGAACTATAGACGGGTTCGAAGATTTAAAGCTTACATGATCTCCAACCAGATCGATGCTCGCGTATTACGGTTCTTGATTTTACGGCAACTGGATAAAATGACTAGTGTTTATGAAGAGCTGCACAGAACTGTTCACTGTTCCGTTTTTAAGAGTAGATAAATAACATCCATTCATTCTCTTGGACAAACGACTGCTTTCATGTTCAATATAACGAGCATGTAAGCTGATTTTGAACAACTGATTGGGACTGAAAGAAAAATTTTTCCTTTGTCAGCTTGATCCTCGATTCCCCTCTGAAATACGTTGCAGAAAAAAGTTTGACAATGGCTTGGTATGCTCTGTATTCTAGGATTTCCACTGACCTATCCCCTACATGAAGGCCTACTTCTTTCCATTCATATGGGTCTGCATTTTGTTTGAATTGTATTCTAGTCGATACAGAAAAATGAAACCTTCATGATATATGTTTTTTCGAGGAAGACTCTTCTGTGATTCATTAAGTCATTTACCATCTCGTGAATGTAAAATATTTCCTCCACGTAGACTAAGCGTTTCTCTCAAGTTCAATGGACTCAAACTCAGAGAAAATGAGTAATATATACCTCCAGAGTAGGCTTTCGGGTGGCCGTCCTGTCGATAATGTAGCTCTCTATTTGTCGAAGCTCCTGGAATTGTTCAAGCTACAGCTTGGCTAAAAGCATACCATCCAGGAATGACCGAAACCATTATTCGATAGCCGTACCATCTCTCAATCGGTACTGCATGTTAGCTGTGCATTCCAGGTTCACTTCAGTCTTCTGATTTCGTAACGCGAATTCCGACCTGATCAATTTCAAGGGTTAAATGACAAGTTTGTTTTACCAGTTCCAACTAGGATATATTTTTGAAGAAACATTCAACATCAAATAAGAGTGTGCTCTTTTACGACACATTTTGTTCCCGGTATGATCGCAGCATGCAAATCACGAATTTTGGATGAACTATCCTCTGAATTTTATCCTGAAGATTTTCGGACTGCAAGCTTGAACGTGTCAACAATGCAGCCTTTCGATTCGTCGTTGTGGTGTGGTGATGATCGTAGACCAGTTACCATTGGGTTTAAATCTTGACGAGATCCTCGATAAGCTGGTTAATTTTGGGCTAATTGATGCAAATTCTTTCACGAACTTCAATGGGTCTCACTTTGTGATTGTCATGGACTGCCAGCAGTGGCCAGAGTGAGAAGATTACTCTGCCGTCAAATATTCATTGGGAGAGCTAGGAAATAAAGGTTCGATTCCAGGTCTGTGTTTGGCCAAGTTGAGAGCTCTGCACCAATCGGGGTGATTTTTAAGCGCTATATTGTCTAATTGCAGAATGCTACTGTGGCCGGAATTCCGGGCTCTTCTAGGTGGTATATCTTCTGATCAAAGCATATGAGAGGAACTACCCTGAGAGAAGGGGGATGTGGATCCAGACTCAACATTAGGATTTTCTAACATGCATTTGCCCATCACGTGTTGAAAAACAGGGGAAAGTGTTGAACACAGTCAACAATCGCGGTTCTTGTCAGCGGTCATTTTTTCAACGTATAACAAGACGTGTTTACCATTATGATCTACTGGGGTTCTCAGTTGGCTTTTAACTTTTATGTGAGACACAACTGGGGTCTGGAGCATTTTGCTGTTGCGATTTGCCCTATTAGTCATTGATAGAAAGCTCCAAAAACTTCTCGTTCAATGGGGTATTTATGTGGAAGACTGTTGGCAAGTTTATGGAGTGTCCAGAGCACTTTAATCAAGCTAGTCAGGCTAATTTTACAGACTGACTGTTTGTTTTCAAATTGCATGGTTTGGATGGACAGAAACCACCCTGTTGCTCGAAACGTCTCCATCGTAAGCAGTGGTCACAACTGTACCGGAAAACTCTATGAAAGGGTCGCGCTTTACAATGACAATAAGGAGAACCGGACAGCTTGGCGCTGTCGGTGCCTACTGTGGACCGGTGGTTGACGAGAGAGCCCTGTTTGGTGGAGATAGGAGCGATGTTATTTCTGTCCGTTTTCGTCGTTGCTAGATAATTGAGAACTCCCATAAACGAATCACTTGTGAGGGTATGATGCTATGAAGTCGGTCAATCTATACGAGTTTAAGGGTTCACAAATCTGTATTACTTGAAGACTGTATGCCGCATATAAACACCAAGAACCTAAACTAGTCTCCTGTGAAAAAGTCCAATTAGCAACGCTTGTACTCTCCATTTGCGAAAGCGCCACAAGTGACAAAATCACCTTGGTATCGTTGCACCATCAGAAGGCACTTGGGGCGCACGCGGTGTTTGCAAGAAGTGTCACCCAGGCGTGTTTTTAGCGTCAGCACAATACCAATGAAGCTTTTGGTTCGAGACCCCATCGGTAGCATGCAGCTCGCTTACTGGACTTGTTCAGCTAGGTCGGTTCGCTCATTAGGAAACCGACTTCGGTTTCGTCATCTAAGCGGATTAGTTCAAAGTGAATATATCCATGTAGCGTATGTGTGGTTTTGAATAATGATAGACTGTACTGACCGGTGAATGGCACGTTCTATACATTGGTCGGTGGATTATAGAAGAAATATGCTTATCTTAGACGTGTGACTTCAAGGATCGGGCTCACCATGCGCTTATTACCAACGTTTCTACGCGATTGCATGAGGTCGGGAACACGAGATGGTGTGCGATACTCCGGTTCTTCGGGATTTGTTTCGTAACTGGCATCCTATGCTTATCCATCCCGAAGAAGGTTAGCGATGTTTGGGAGATGTTGGTCTGATGTGAGCTCCGGAGGACTAGTAGGAATAACTCAGGCGGTCAGTGAGTTAGACACCCCCCCCCTTGCCTGGCCTTTAATCTCAGTCTATTCAATAGTTATTTGCTATACAGTTACTTCTACAAGACTCCCAAGGATTTTAGTGGTAATTTCCATTTTGGTTCTACATGAAAGATTCCCCTTCCCGCACACACATGCAGTATTTTTCCTTTGAATGTTTGGAAATTTGTCCCTGAATAATGCATAGACTCCATGGAGCCTTTGTCACTGTGGGTTAACAGCCTCAGTTCTCTTATTCGCAGTGTTTGTCGCTTTTGAGAAAATCCCTGAGATAGGATAGAAAAAGGGAGCTACTTCCAATTGACGGCGGATGTCATGACTCCGAATGTTTTAGTCGGATATCCTTTAGCCTTCGGCATCTTGGACAGACTCAATCCACTGTGCCAATTAAAAAATATAAAATGTTACATAGTCAATTTTTACTCGCATTCAACCTCATGCACTGCACACCTCCGTCTCACCCCATGCATGAAAATCTGGTATGCGTTTTCACTGTACGAATCACCTCACGTCACAGGTGCACGGACGTACCGGAACTATATTACACTTCGGGGACACCAAGGGCACAGTAGTGCTCTGGATTTGCATTGTGTCACCTGTGAGAACCAATGTGTAGGACTCGACAAAAAAACAATTATTTAATTCCAATTGCTTTAACTCTGGTTCTACTAAAGTTCATTCATTCTCAATTCAACGTGATTGCCATAAGTTTGACGTAATCAGATTGATAGTTGACCTTAACACCGTCACTAATGGAGGAGGCGAACATCGATTGCAAAGCCAATTGCCTAGGTGATGGTTAGTTAGTTCGTGCACGTGTGTCCCGCCCCCCCCCCTACTGAGAAGATTAGACAATCCTTTTCTTTTCTTTTGATTGGTTTGTCACAATTGGATCTTTTTGAGTGAAAAAGACCTCATAGAACGAACATCAGAAGCTATTACAAAACTCACTCATCAGCATGGAGGATTGTCTTACTGTGTTGAATCGGGTTGGTGATGAGTATAATGTGGCTGTGGAAGATTTTGCCGATCGTCTCCATCTATACACTTCAGGCTTCTTTCTTGTGTCCGCGATAGCCGTATCCCTAAAACAATATGTGTTCAGTAGCATGTCCTGTTACATACCAGTCCATCCGAAAGAAGGAGCATTTGCAGAATTTTTATCCAACTACTGTTGGGTTCATGGAACAATACCACTTCGATCGAGCGAAGAGATGCCGAACACGGAAGAGGAGTGGGATTTGTACGACAAATATCGACGAATAAGTAAGTGGGAATAGTGGGATCAGGTTTTTGGATGATAGTTTTGTGAATCGAATGTGTGCACGTGGGCGGGGGTTATTTGTCCTTCATTCGGATTAGTGGAAAAACACCTTTTTTCTTCGTATATCAATACCGGAATACATGCCTCATCTGTGTAATACTCAATCCGTGGTTATTTCTTACTTTAGTTCAAGCTACCGTTCAGTTATAAGTTCACAACTGGAGAAAGTGTCGTATGTGAACAGAATAATAACCGGGACATCACAGACTCTTTGAGATATGATCGTAACTTTTTTTAATCATATTGCGTTGATTGTCACAAGAAAAATATAGACTGAAATTGACCCCCTTTAAAATAGTTACGGTTAAAAGTTTGAAAGTATCAGTCCGATTCACTATGACCCTTGGGATTAATTTCGCAATTTTTTTTTTAGAAGAATGGTACTTTCATTTCTCTCCTAATGACTTTTCCATTCTTATTATGATCCTCTCGCTCTCACTCTTCAGTCTGTCTGGATTCACAAATTGTGTGAACCGTGTGACCACGGTTCAATCCCTTCAGCCCCGGGATTCAGTCGATACATCAAATATTCCTTTTTTTTTGCATTGATAACTATTATTTCTTCTGAGTACATAGGTACGATGTCATCTACTGATTATCAGTAAAATAAGAAAGAGCAATCAGTAACTGTTCCTCCTCATTGACCAATATAAATATCTATTTATATAATACTAAATACGGACGGATTATTGCGAGGTTGCTCAAACCATAGCAATTGAATTTTCTTGAAGGGTGAGGGGGGTTACAACCGACTCCATTGCTGGTCAAATCGACACCCGTAAAGCAATGTGTTGAAATCGCAGTCCATTGAGGGTCAATGTCCAGTTCATCGGACTATGCATCCTTTGAACGGAGTCAAATATCAAAGGTGAATAATCATACTCAATGCCCGATCGAACCGGTGACCCCTGACACAACCAGTAAGGTATGCATTGCTCTGACGTCTGTTCTCGGTTGGTTTTAAAATCACGGTTTTTAGGCGACCTCAGTGCGTAAATTGCCCGTGATGCACCAACCCGGTTATAGCCCCGGATATTGGTTTCTGGTGCTTTCACTTCGACGGAAAGTGATTTTGCCATGCGAGCACAATAAGTGGGGGATTCCCCAGCGGATGTCTATTGAGTGACTTGATAGTATGACATTGTTTAAAAAGAGGAAAGTTTGAGGGTGACCATCCACCAACACCACTGACCGTATTAAGACATTTGATGCTCTTGATCAATACATTCACTGTGAGTAACCTACTCATGAAACGGGTTGTTTAACGAACTTCACCTTGCAACAGCTATTAATCAACCATGAGTTGAATAGATCTGCAAAGTGGAGAACAACTTCGAAACTTTTGCTTGTGTTCCTCAGGTACTGTCAAACAGACTCCTTCAGAAATCAAACCAGGAGTATAGCCGTGGGATGCAAACAAAACATCTAATCAGTAGTTATTACTAATTGTCAGAGTGGTTCCTCGTGTTAGTTCGGGAATTCGCATATTGCGTACTCTCCTCCTGAATGCGTGGCATATATATTCCAGTTCATCCTACATTTACCATAGCAATCTTTGTTCAGATTGTGTTGTTTGGCAGATTTGAGTAATATGTTTAGATTGTGAAAATTTCAGTACCCATGGTAGGATCAGAGCCCACACGTGGATTTCGTCCACGTTTATATACAACACACGCCGTTTCAGCTGAGTTACCAGGCCACACTGATAGCACTGATATTTTCACTTGTGTGCTGTACAAAGGCGTGGATTCGAATCTCATGAACGCTACTGAATTTTTCACAATTCAAACACAATAGCAATCTTGAATAGTGTATTTCAACATCAATTTTCACTGGGTGGAAAGTAACAAATTAAAAGCATAAAATAAAAAACTAAAATGTTATTATACTATTACTAAAATAGGGCTGTCGTGACTTAACTTCACGAAATTATTTATTATTACAGCTGATTCTAAATAGATAAGTATTACCAAAAACGTAGATTGTAATTCTTAGGTACTTATCTGATTAATCATTGTATCACTATCGTGACTTCGTTGATAAAGTTTGATTCCGAATTCATAGGAAAATACCGACTATAATTGATATACAAGCTCTTTCGGCTTGAAGGGCAAGTAAGTAGATGTCCAACATTTTCTTTCTTAACTATCGTCCCCCGTTTTAACTTTCACTCATGGTTTTCACCCTTTACTGCTGAGCGACTGAGTTAAATTTGCATTACATTGATTATCCACACGTTCAGTTTCATTCCGTTCATGCCACATGCACAAACACGGGTACACAGAATCACTGAACTGGTTTTTCGATCACAGCTTGTTATAATTCGCAGTTTGGGCAACCGACGAAACTTTGCTAATACACCTTAGCTAGATTTTGTCCCACCGGTGGTGCTTCGGCTAAAACGGGCAATTTTTCCCATAGTACTTAAAGGAGAAAAGCAAAGCCTGGATTTCAGGATGGTTATGTGATATTCAGCGACCAAGCGAATACCGAGAGGGCTGAATAGCCACGAGAACCCCGGTGATTTTCAAGAAATAAGGTACCAGAATGAGGTATTCTGTTTAACAGTTTTTCTATTTGCAGGAAAATTCCCAAGCAGTATTTCAACAAATACTACCCAATATATTCTTCATCCTCATAAATTTAGCGGTAAGCTCTGTCTTTATCCAACATAGCGCTTTTAATCAACTTTTTATTCTGTTCCTAATCCGATTTAGAAAATTACCATTGAATCACATTCAGATCCTTACTAAGGGAACCAGAAGCAGCCGTTTGTTCCTGTATAAGCTGATAAACCACTTTTGAATCTTTTTCGTTTGGCTGACAACACTTTATCGGTCCTCATCTCATTTGTTTACGTGAAAATTGCTTTACTACTGACAACGATATAGTAACTGGGAACATTGTGTATTTTAGTGTAACTTCACTGTATTGTATTGTATTATATTGACGCTTTAGCGAGCTATATACAAGCTTTCAGCCAAAAAATAGACCACCGTTACCATTCTGGTAAAAACAGGTGAAAAATGGGACGTAAAACGTACAAAAATATGATTTAATTGCTAAGTGCATTAGAAAGCTGAGAACGAACATTTGCCTTGTCGGCCAGCATCCGGGACAGAAAGGGTATTAAAGAGTTTCTGTATGCAGATATACGAGACGGAATAAGTTAGTACGTAGAACGGATGGAGGGGTTGGATTTGCAAACACACAGGTCAATGTGTAAAGGATAGGTACAATCAGATGGGATATTGCCAGCATACGTCAAGCATGCATCAATATGGGCATTACACATATTGCCAATCAGAACAGATAACGGAACTTAGGAGGCACGGCTGATCATCGAGAGGCCACGTCTCAGCAACTTGAAATCAGCCTTCAGCAAACCAGGGGAAATTACAGAGGAGCAGTAAATGGTTATAGGGAGGACACATCGTTAAACAAAAGCGTTTATCACCGACATGTCCTAACAGAAGTGGCGCAGTCTTCATATCTGAAGAGAGACCTTTTAACTTACGAGCAACAGTTTGGGTATGTATGGATCAGCAACGGATACCTTCAAGTGTGACACCTAAGTACTTCACATGGCTGACCCTGTTCATTGACTTTCCAAGAATCTGTGCATTTTCGAGGGAGATGGGGAACGGTTTAGAGCAAAAATACATTCGAGGCATTTTTCGGGATGAAGATTAAGACCGGATGGAGTGGAAGATGAAACGAGGTGGGATAAGTTCGTGTTACATGCAACCGTTTCTGATGGTTAAGATACGGAAATAACAATGGGGATATCATCATACCTAAAATGTCGTACACGGGGAGTGACAGATAAGTCACGGATATAAGCCGCAACAGGATAGGGTGATAGGACAGTACCTTGAAGTACCCCCGAACTATTGATTGATGCGGTTGATTAACTTCTTCCCAATTTAGCATACTTATATCTTTGCGAGAAGTAATCAGCAAGCCATTGAAGAAGAGAATGAACGGAAATTGTAGAACTGTGTGAAATGTGGCCTAGTGCGTTCAAACTGGAGAATACATTGCAGTGTAATGGTTTGATATTCCAACACAATGTTGTTGCCTACAGAGCTTTCTATTTTTCCAATTGAGGGGGGGGGGGGGAAAGTTGTCTACCGATTATCGGTA